AGTTGACCATAGAGTTGAGGGTCCATTTCTGGGCTCTCTATTCGCTTTGGGGCTTTCTATGGACTTCCCACCATCTTCACCTTGTGGGGCCGATGCCCACCTTCCAAATGACAGTCCATTCTATGCCTGGTAGAACAGTGGTCTCTCCTCTTTCAAAAGTGCCTGAGTTATGCTCATTACTTTTTTGGACAATGCTCAGAATTATTCTGTCAATTTTATAGGTGAGCACAATTGTATTTAGACTGAAACTGTATTGATTTGGAGAGAACTGACACCTCTACCATATTAAGACTTTCTATGCAGGGGTGCCTGGGTGGCTCAGTCATTAAGCGTCTGCCTTCAGCTCAGGTCACGATCCTGGGGTCCTGGGATCGAGCCCCACATCGGGCTCCCTGCTCCGTGGGAAGCCTGCTTCTCCCTCTCCCACTCCCCCTGCTTGTGTTCCTTCTCTCACTGTGTCTCTCTCTGTGAAATAAATAAATAAAATGTTAAAAAAAAAAAAAGATTTTCTATCCAGACTTACTGCATGTTGCTCCAGTTATCAAAGGCTTCTTTTAATGACCCCCCAAGTGGGCTTGGAACTGCTTCACATTTCCGGGTAAGTGTATTCCTAGATATTTTATATATAGGTATATACATATCTTTTTGGTCTTATGAATGGTATTAAAATAATATTGTCTAATTGATTATTGCTGATGTATAGGAAACTGTTGACTTTTTGTGTAGTCTACTTGTCATATTCTCTTATTTGTTCCACTGGTAGTTAATTGGTGAGAAAATCATCATTTGGAAAAAAAAAAAAGAAGAGAAAGAAATTGTCTCATATTTTTAAGATTTGTACATCTTCTTTCTTTCTTCTTTTTTTAAGTTTATTTAAGCAATCTCTACACTCAACATGCGGCTCAAATTCAGGACCCCATGCTCCACTGGTAAGTTAGCCAGGCGTCCCTCTTATTTCTTTTTTATGTCTTACTGAATTGGTTAGGGATCCCAGAACAATGTTATAAAATAGGGAAGATAAAGGCATCCCTGACTTGCTTCTAACTTTAAAGAGAATGCCTCCTAGAGCAAGATTTTTAGGGGCGTGTTCTTAGATGTTATAAGGTGTTACGAGAAAGAAAAAAGGCCCATGTTCAAGTTTGGGAAAACGAACTAACGGCTTTATTTACTCTAATACTTCTGGGAATTTTTCAGAAGTCAATGGGATGTGACACCCTTAAGAATAGGATGTAGGGGCGCCTGGCTGGCTCAGTCAGTGCAACTCTTGATCTCAGGGTTGTAAGTTCAAGCCCCATGGTGGGTGTGGAGATTAGTTAAAAATAAAATCTTAAGGATAAAAAAAGAATGGGCTGTAAACTTTTCCAAATTTGACTACGGAAGCCACTTTCTCTCCTCTTTCTTTCCTCCTTTCCTTCCTCCCTCCTCCCCTCCCTCCCTCCCTTCCTAGCTTTCTATCTTTCTCTCTCTCTCTCCCTCTCTGGTATTGGGGGAAATATTCCACAGGATTGCTTTTCTGCAGAACTGTCTGGGAAGTTCATTCAGCTCTACTGTTTCATCATTTAGTGTGATGCTGGCTGCTAATGTGGATGTGTATTCTTTACCATATTAAAGAAATACAGTACATTATTCCTAGCTGATTAATTATTTTCTGAGAAACACATGGATAATTTAACCTTCTTTTGGGCATCTATCAAGAGTGACTTTCTTGCCTCAATCTGATAAATTATAGTGATAGATGTCCTAAAATAAATCAACTTTTTATTCCTGGAATAAATCCTACTTGTTCATACTTTCAGGAAAGGCTGGATTTGATGTGCTAGTATTTTATTTTGGATTTTTACGTTATTAATTTGCAAGATGGGCCACTGTATTCTTGCAGTGTACTTCTGTCATTTAGAGTATCAGTGTTGCAAATGAATTGGGAAGCATCTTCTTTTTCAAAAAATTAAATCAGCGTTACCGAGGTATAATTCAAATGCAATAAAAGTCAACCATTTTAAGAGTATGATTTGATGAGCTTTGGAAAAGGTACAGTGGTGTAGCCACCTCCAGAATCACGGTGTGGAATACCTTCATCTCCCCAAACGTTCCTGCAAGCTCCTCTGGAGTCTTTCCCCCATTTCTTGGCAACCCCTAATCTGCTTCCACTTTTACGTCTGTACTGGGAACTGACAAACTATAGCCCATGGCCTGTTTCTGAATGGCTCTTGTGCTAAGAATGGTTTTTACATTTTTAGAGGGCTGTAAATAAAAAAAAAAGCAAAAACAACAAGAATATGCAAGAGAGAAGGTATGGCCTGCAAGGCAGAAAATATCTGCCACCTGGCCCTCTGTGGGAAAAGTGTGCCAACATCTGTTCTTCCCCACTGGAGGAGGGTCTTGGGTTTACTCTCCATGTCTTTGTTTCTCATTTTCCACGGAGCCAGCTCTGTCATTAGTGCCGCCCACTGCCCCCGTCTTGCTCTTACAGTGTTAGCTTCTTTGCAGTGTTTTTATGTCTTCTTTTCAACTCCTCTCGCTGTCTTTTCCTCTACACCTCTCCTTTTTATGGCTTTTGTTCCAGATTCATCGAACATTTCCTTTCCTGAATCCCTGACATGCCCTTCGCTCTTGCTCTGCCTGTTCTTCAGTACTTTCGCATAAGGTTCCAAGATGTCCTGTTGCTCGGCTCTCCTCTCCTGATGCGCGGGCCCCTGCTAAGATCTGGCCAGCCTGTGTTTGATGACGAACTTTACAGACTGCCCTTTGCCCTTGGTTCCTTCCCTAACCTCCCACGTGACCGTCAAAGACCACCGCCCCCCCCCCCGCGGCTCCAGATCTCAGCTACTGGCTGACTCTCCCCTAGAGCAGGAGGCTGTAAACTAGTGTCTATGGCCTGTCTGTCTCGCTTGCTAAGAGTGGCTTTTCATTTTTTAAAAGGATTGTTTTTAAAAAAATAAAAAATAAAAACCCAAAAACAAAAACAAAAAACTAAGAAAACTACGGGGCAGAAACTTTCCCTCTGTGGCCTACAAAGCCTGAAATATTTCTTTTTTTTTTTTTAAAGATTTTATTTATTTATTTGACAGAGAGAGAGAGATAGTGAGAGCAGGAACTCAAGCAGAGGGAGTGGGAGAGGGAGAAGCAGGCTTCCCGCGGAGCAGGGAGCCCGATGCGGGGCTCGATCCCACGACCCTGAGATCATGACCTGAGCCGAAGGCAGATGCTTAACGACTGAGCCACCCAGGCGCCCCCTGAAATATTTCTTATGTGGTCTTTTATGGAGACGGCTGTGACCACTGCCTTATTAGAGCATCTCTCTTCTGATGTCATGACTGGCTCTTTGAATTGATGAACTGCAGCCCAAACCTACAAACCTGCCACCAGCTTCTTTCCAGCTGAGCTCCTACCTGCGAGGTTTGTTCATTGAGGCTTTATTTCAGAAGCAACCAACCTACTCTAATTCTTGACAGCTTGCTTTCTGCACGAGGTTATCTCCATCCGGGGACAGAAAGATGCGTGGGGCGCTATTGACCCAGGGACGTACTGGAGTGGAGGAGGCAGAGCACTGGGAAAGGGGACCTCACAGATCGGTACCTAGGAGTTGGAGGGATGGCTGTCTTATTTTCAGGTCACCGTGAACCCCGGATATCTGCATTAAGGCTCAGCCTCAGGGGATAAAACACGTCTTCCTATTTCCTCTTTTTTTTGGTAAAGAGGATTCCATTGCAAAAAAAAAAAAGGTTGTAAAATCACTAAGTGAAGGTTTAAAGACAATAGGTTAACATGATGACCTATTACCGTATTAATCAAAAAGTATAATCATTAATGTTACCTGTAATCATGCACTACTTTTCTTGCATTCTCTAGTTGTTCGTTGGTTAACAGGATATTCCTGGGATCTGTTACAGTGAAGAAATGATTGGCTCGCCCAACAAAGGTGCTTTGATCCCATCGAGGTTCCTTGATGTTAATGTTCGGTGGAAGTTCTCCAGACATCGTCCTGGACTCTAGGGGGTCAAAAAGATAAGTCTAGTCAAGACTTACAATGTTGCTACACATTTTAGAAACCCTATAGTCACATTAATTTCCAGCTGAAAATTTATGTACATTCCTCTTTATAAAAATAACTTTGCTATAAATGGCAGAAAGACAATCTAACTCCAAAGTTACTTTGTCCATAAATCCCAACTGATCTTAACCAAATTTCAATAATTTCCCACATATTTCTCCTGATAGATACATGGTATTTCATCATTCCTTAACTTTTGGAAGCCTAGAAATACTCTAGAAAAAGTAGAAATAGAAAAAGTTAAAAATAACATCAGCAGTAACAGGGTCTGAAGTTTGAAACCCCTTTTCTGGGTGCGACAACCAATGCCAAACTACTACTCCATTCTGGTCTGCTAACTGTGTTATTTCTACCGGTAGAAGTGACTAATTATGTAAAAAGCGTTGGTTACATGCTAAAAATTCCACAATTAGAAAAAGACTCAGATTCAGTCAGCCTTGTTCAACATATAAACCACCAAACAAAAATGCAAACTTATGTTCCTCAATCCAACAGGGACATGGTGGGAAAAACACATTCGGACAAGCCCACAAATATGAGTAACACTATGGTGTATCATTTCCCTCATGTGATACCTATTTTATAGCTAAGAACCATTACTATTTTCCCAAAAGTAACTACTTTCTTTCTCTGAGTGATACACACTTATTTTTAGAACTGCACTGTATTATTGTAGAAAATATAGAACAAAAAACCAAAATCTCTGATAATTTAGCCACACTGAGATAACCATCCTTTATGTTTTGGTAATGCCTTGCAGACATTTTTTATACACATCATATAAATAAAAAATAAAGTTGATATCATACTCTGTATTTTAATTTCCTGATTTTTTTTTTTTTTTGGCGCTTACTTCATGAGCATTCCCCAGGGCACTAAATATTCATTTTAGGTATGTAACAACACCTTTAATGTCTAAATCATTTTCAGTTTTTCACCATGATAAATAATGTATCCTTGTCTATGATCTTTTCCCTCAAAGCTGGTGATCTCCTTAGACTAGATCTCTCTGTGTGACATTAGCAGACTGAAGGACCGAATCACTATGAAGGCTTCAAACCACTGCTTTTTTATTCCTGTTTCCCTTCCCTACATTTCTAATATCAGTTCGAATAGCAGCTTTCTTTTCCAGGTCATTTTTCACGAAGTTATTTTTTAGTGCTTCTCAAGTTCTTAGGTACCTTAAGATGCCAAGTACAGATGGTAGGCACTCTTGTCATTTATACTTTCTCAAAATCTCAAACTAATAAGTATCATAGCCCACTGGATCAAACTCGGGCACGTTAGGACAAGAGATGTGAGGGATCCAGTGCCTGTGAAACAGCTGGTCAGTGAGACTGAGAAAGTCAGCCCTGCTACTCGTAAAGCCACAGCTGGAATAACAAGCACGGATAAAGCCAGCTGCAAGGTTACTGGGAAACCATATCGCTCCCAAGGTCACAGCTATAAAGTGTCATAACACTGCCCTTCTTTGGATGACTACTGCTTTCTTATCTCACCAAGACATTGTGTCTTCTATAATCTTTGCTATTTAATTCAAAACAGAAAGAATGAAACATCCCACTCTGGACAATGGAAAGGAGCCTGGATTTCCAGCACAGGTGTGGAGCTTAAGATTAGGGAGTTTCTGGACACGACATTCCACAATTTTCTTAACTTTGTAATTTCCAAGGAAACAGGGCAATGGGGCCACGTCACGGTCTAGACCTTAACACCCAGCCCTGGTTTAAGCCAATCAAAATATTGCTTCACTAAGCTTCCCTGAAAGTCCACTGTTCTCCAAGATGCTCTAAAAGCTTTATCTCCTCCTTTGTTGGCAAGACACACTCTGTTCCTCTGGTCTGCGGTCTCCCTCGATGCAAGAAGCCAATGAGCATGACTTTGTCGGACTACAGGTTTGTCCCTGCTGGGTTTTGGCTGATTGAGCTGTAGTAAGAGAAACATCTGAATTTCAAATTAGGACACATCAACATCATGGGCATCAAGTCCAGGGATACAAGAAATACAATGTACATCAAAGAGCTGTGCCATTGTATGAGAAATGTCTAAATTTTGAATTAGAATACGTCAAATGTGTTATTTATAACACTTGCAAAAAAGCAAAACAAAATCTCCAATTCACATTCCGGACAGCAGTAGTTTTTAGACGTGTCTGCAGAGACCTGGGGCCCTGCTGAGATTCCTTAGTGCCCCCCAGGGAATGGAGTGGATTCAGCAGGTGGGGTTACAGCAAAGGAGGCTGACAAGGAGTGACCAGCCGGAGAAAAAGCAAGGAGAGCATGGTGTCCTGCAAGACAGTCTCTCCGTAGTCCAACTGGCCAAAAGGAAGAACACCTTGGTAGGTGGTGACTCCCATGTTGGGATAGTGAAGAGAGGAGCATACAACCCTGAGGGGCCAGTCTAGGGGTGGGGGACACTGCAGAGATGGTTGTCTTGGCAAGTTCTAAAAATTCTGAGCCATGGTGGTAGCAAGTAGGGAGAGACTGCACACACACATCACACGTCCCTCTGCAAAGACAATTACTATCTCCCGTCTTGAGGTTCAGATTCCGTAGGCCTAGCAAGAGGCGGGGCGTGGGACTGTGCCGGCGCTCTGGCCCGGCCCTCCTGCAGTCTGGGCACCAGGCTGTGGCTGTATGTGCAGCTGGAGCGGCTTCCTTCCTGGCGTTTCTCTGCGCTGCCTATGCTGCCGCTCAGGCCTGAGCAATCACCGTGTTCCCCTGTGGATATCTGATACGGACTGTTCTCATAAAACGGAGTACCGGGCGCCTGGGTGGCTCAGTCGGTTAAGCGACTGCCTTCGGCTCAGGTCATGATCCTGGAGTCCCGGGATCGAGTCCCGCATCGGGCTCCCTGCTCGGCGGGGAGCCTGCTTCTCCCTCTGGCCCTCCCCCCACTCATGTACTCTCTCTCTCTCATTCTCTCTCTCTCAAATACATAAAATTTAAAAAAAAAAAAAAACAACGGAGTACCAAGTAATCTTTCTTGCCTTCAAGTACAACCCTCACCATCACTGCTTGTCCTTTACACCTAACATACATCATCCCCCAAATTAACACGTTGCATTCACAGAATCCTAGTTCTTCATAACAAACCATCTCCAATTTGTGAAATAGAAAGCAACATTTAGGTCAAGTTGCCACAAACAGGATCTGGGTTTAAAACCTGGTTACTTTATAAAATCAAAACGTCCTAATTGCGTAAGAGCTGGATGGGGTCTTTAAAAAGACCTACCATTTTTAACTGCACCATACAGATGAGGAGACAGAGGCCCGGCGGGGGGGGGCGGGGGGGCAGAGAACCGCCCAGGTGGCGTGACTGGTGCCGGGGACAGAAGAAAAGCAGCAGGACCACAGCAGGGCTGCACTCCTGGGCACTGGTCTGCCAGTTCCCTCTTTCTCCTCTACCACTTTCTGTTAGCTATGCTCCCCTCAAAGTATACCAACTAATGCCCACACAGAACTGGTCTCTTTGAGGCCCTCTTTTTCCCTCTAATGCAAACGTTTCTACTGACACTGTGAAGTCCTGCACTACAAGGAGCGTGTGGCAACTCTGAGCACGTAAGCAAGAGGGCTGTGGAGGCCTCACAAGGTCTTTCTTTAACAGGCAAAGAGAAAGGAGAGAAATGGGGGAGAGGAACCTCAACATGTTTGGAGTTTGTATTACAGGCAAGGAACTGGGCCAGATGCTTGCCTAAGAGTGCAAGCCCCTACTATGTGCCCGTAGCAGAACATTCTATCTCAGTTCTCATGATAGTGGGCTCTATGAATACTACACCATTTTTATGGAAGACGAAAGTAAGAATCTGAGATGTTGCTCCCAACTAACCCTTATCTACCCAGCAAGAGAAGGAGAAGGCTGATCTTCAGACTCCAGGCCAAGCCCACCCAAACCTCAACACTTGAAAGCATACATCGATGGGCCCTGTATGGACCTCTGGTAGGCTGAATAATGCCTCTTCCCCAAGATGTGCACATCCTATCCCCACACACTGGGAATATGTCACCTTCTGTGGCAAAGGGACTTTGTTGGTGTGATTAAGTTAAGGATCTTGAGACTGGGAAACTACCCTGGCTTATTCAGGTGGGCCTGATGTAATCACAAGAGCCCCTACAAGAGAAAGAGGAGGGCAGGAGAGGCAGAGTCCGAGGAACAGATGTGGGACAAGCAGAGACTGCGGTGATGTGGGGCAGTGAGCCAAGGAGTGTGGGCAGCCTCTGGAAGCTGGAAAAGGCAAAGAGCCTCCAAAAGTAACACAGACTCATTTTAGACTTCTGACCTCCAGAACTATAGGTTAATGTACTATTTTACAACTACTAACTTTGTGGTTATTTGTTATAGCAGCAACAGGAAACTAATACAGCACTATTTTCCCTACTTAGAAAGGATTTCAAATAACACTATATACTGGTATATGAAATACCAACTAGCCTTGATAATCTGTCTCTGCCTCTACGAATTTCAAAAACATAAAGCCTACTCAGAAACGTCATATTAACATTCTTACAAAGACAGCTGATCTCAAGCCAGGTAAAATTTTAATTATTAACTGTGACTCCCATGTTTCAATTAGACAAGCCTTTTCATGCATGAACCTTCAAGCACACTTCACTTTCTCAACTCTAAATAAATCAACCAGTTTCTATAATCAGGAGTCCTACTTTCATTTTTTCTTTTTCTTTTTAAAAATTTGTGTCCTATTCCACATTAAACAGTGGGACCATGAGTGGTCCCGCCAAGGCCCTGGGGTACTTGTCTCCCTCCTGTCCATCCCCAGGCCTGGGTGCTCTGATTGCGGACCAAGCAGCAGCTCCTTGTGCATTGAGTCAGGGTGCTGGAGGAGGGGGCACTGAGGTGCTGCTGGGGACCCCTCTCATCAGCATCTCAGGCATGCTGCATTTTGTACCTGGAGCTGGCTGAGGGAGGAGGCTGAAGCTC